TTTTTGTATCTTGCAATGACTTTTTTTATATTAGACATGCTTCTTTATTTATACTCGGATGAGTCATCTTTGGTCGTCTTTGGAACAGATGGAGCCCTTTCACCTACAGAGTTTAACAGATGCGAATAATTCAGAATAAAATTTCGATAAAAAGCTGTGCAAAGCATCACCGGATTCCACGTTCCGATTTTCCGTAACTACTATCGGCTCGACTCGATTATGTATCTAGCCTCCCCCACGAGGGGTGAATGTGGCACAAGGCCGAGTTTAACGTGGGTTTCCCGAGCCCGTAGGCTCGGCCAAAAAATGCCTGTAGAACCCGTATAAGAGGGATCGGGTTGGTCAACCTCCCCGAACGAGACTGTACCCTTCGGCGGAGCCTCGTCGGTGTTCCTCTCTGCTCAGAGGCAGAGAGTTCGATCGTCAAGCCGAGAAGCTCGGCTTGAATCAGTATCTAGCACCCCCCCACCCCCGAGGGTTGCATATGGCACAAAGCCGAGTTTACCGTGGGTTTCCCGAGCCCGTAGGCTCGGCCAAAAAATGGCTTGAATCGTCCCTCTCTCTTGAGAGGCGTAGTATACATAGTGTTAGGAAGAGTTCATTCTGTAGTCATAGAGAAGGACCCATGACAATAAATAATGTCATTTCTTTTCCTACTAAATTTGAATAATTTAAAACCATTACGGGTACTACTTCTAAGTGTACTGATTTTCCAAGCGTAGCTCATATGTGGCACAAGGCCGAAAGTATGGGGTACCCAGTGAGGATCGAACTCACTACTCAGTCGTAATAGTTCTACGAAGACAAGCTTGCTAACCATTATACCACCTCGAGGTGCCCAATTCTATGTGTAAACAAATAAAAATGGCGTAGTGCCAGAGAGTAGTAGACTGAAAAATTGCATCCATATGACCACATTGAAAGAGATCTGGCTTCTCTCCTCTAGTTGGTAAAATGCCATATTAAACTATAACGGAAAGAGTCTGAACCTAATTAGTTATTTTTAAAGCTACACAGCTTACATTCTCGTTGTAGAATAGGAAATGTCCTGATCCGTAAAATATAAGCGACAGAAAGAAAAAAAATAATAATAAAAATTAATTTTTTTCAGATGAATTTTAAACTGAGTTTTTAATCTGCATTTGAAAACAAAAACAGAAAAATACATCAAAATAATAAAAAGACATCTAAATATCCATCTAGGTAGTCTCTCTTTCAGTGGCCATCCATAGAAAATTTGAATTAAAATTTAAATATCCACTTTGATTTTAATTTTTACTTTAAAGCGAAATAGGTTGTTGAACCAAAAGTAGTACAAAACTATAAAATTTATCCGAATATATATTATATATTCAGTAAAGAATAAATTATTTCAGATAGTTATTTCCACAAATATATATATATATATATATATATATATATATATATATATATATATATATATATATATATATATATATATAATGGGAATATAAATTATCCAATTATATTGCTGGTAAAATAGAAAAACCGAAATTATTTTTACGTTACAATTCTAAAAATAAATAATTTTCCCATTTTAGCACTAGTCATAGTTCAATCAAGCTCGAGGAATAATGAATTTTTTAATCATTTGAACTAGAAGTAAATTAATTGTAGGTTGTTTAACATAAATTTGCCGTTTTCTTTTAACGGTTATAAATTGACAGAAAATAGAAAAGTCGTTATTCAATCAAATTATTTCCATTCGTTCTTCAAAGTTTTTCAATAGTTGCAAATTGTTAGTTTCTTTCTGTCATTCAAAGAACGATGTATTCATGGCTTCTTCTGTTTGAGCTCGATTTTGGAAAATTCTGGTTTGAAAAATTCGTTAGACAACTCGGTTAAATACAGGACAAAATAAATACAATCTTCAGCTGTTTTCAATTTATAGTATGAAAGTGAATATCATAACGCAGCAGAATGAGGTTATTTCTATTCGCGAAACAGCGTAGCCATTTTCTCGTCTGTTCCTTTCATCTTCATTTCTGCTGTTTTTCAACGCATCTCGTCAGACCTTCTCGGCTCTTGGTAAACAGTGTGTATCAGAACTAAAGCTGTAGGCGAGACTCGAACTCGCGTCTTCATTTTATTTTCCTTTATCAATCTTATTTCCGACAATTTCAGTTTCAGAAATTCATGCTATCGATTTCAAATTAATATTTTTCACGATCGCACGGCGCCACATTATCTAATATTACTGCTTCTACATACATTAAGAGACTTGTGACAACAGAATTAGTTACACAGAAAAAATATAGAGTATATTTTATGGACGGAACAGGCGAGTATCGAGAAAGTTAAGGAAAATGGAAACGAAAAGAATGTCTATACTTTGAATTAGAAAGAGTTGAAATTTCTGGGTCTAATGAGGAAAGACGACTTTGAGAATTTAATACTCACATGACATCCTGAAGTCAAGATTTGCATAGGGAAACAGTGAATAACATACGTAATGAATTTATGTAAATGGATAAGAGAATTTGAAAAGGGAGAATATTAAAGAGATGCATATTTCTTACCGCTACACATGGTAGGAAGTTGTGGAGAGCCGTGAACACTCACATTCTGAAGGCACACGACACAAAAGTAGTATTATGAGTCATGTCTTTTGAAATTTCTTCAAAATAGATAATCGTTAACTATTAATTTTTTATATAATATTTGTTTCGCTTGAATTTAAACTACTTTTCATCGCAAATTATAAATGTGCGACTTTTACGTACGCCGTGCAAAGGAACGTTAAAGAATACACTTCAGGCGAAACACGAATCCAATCCCTTTTGAATTCGGAAGCCTTTGTACCACATCGGCACACCTGTTTAACCTATTAGAACCAACATTTGCTGTATAAGCATAATCAAGTTTAAATGCATTTAATGTATTTTCTATGCGACAAAGTTTTGCTTACATTGGCAGGAATTACAATAGATCCAAACACTCAAAATCATAATTAGTTTGTGGTTTCGTTATGTAATTCACTGTGCAAATATCCTATGAGGTCTTAATGACTAGTTTCATACAATTAAATATAATTTTTATTCCGTGTTTAGTTAAGATAGATCCCACTTACCAGGCTTTTTTTTGTTACCAATCATTCTCACTGAGATTTGTGAATCAATTTCCAATAAATCTTTGTCTTTCTGAAGACTTACAGTAAGTTAACTCACAAAAGACAGTGATTCATCTCAGAAATATAGACAGAGACAGAGATTCACTTTAAAAATAATTATGGTGGGTAACCTCAACCGTACAAAAAAATGGTTCTCTCACAGAAAAAAAAGAATTTAGAAAAATTTGGTAACGGAAAATTCGATAAACGAAGATTCAGTATCTATGAATTAAAAGTCGATTGAAAATTGATCTTAGGGTCGTTTTGGAGGATTTGGGGGTTAAACTCCCTCCCCTATATTTGTAAACAACTGAAAATTGTAGGGTTCACATAAAACTCCATTACAACAATACAAATACTGTACTTGAAAAAAAGGAGGGTTGGCCTCTTTACCCAATATTTGTTTAAAGTATTATAAACTCTCAGAGTCTAAATAAAACCCTACTACAACAATACCAAGGACGTACTTTCTGGAGAGTGTTTAAGGATCCTAAGCCCCCCTCCTTGAATATTTTTAAATAAATATTTTTTTTTAAAATAAGTATTTATTTAATTACTATACAATTGTTTTAAAGGAAAAAAAAATGATTCATCTATAGTAAGTTCTTGTTTCTTCTTTTCTTCACAGTTAGCGAATTTTCTTACCTTGTCAAAATTATCGAATCTTCCGTCATCGAATCTTCGGGGCACCGAAAAAAAAATTGTTTTCTGGTTCGCCCTAATCACTGTTAACTTCTATGCTTTCGTGATATATATTGTACATAAAAATGAATAAACGTAGCACAAGGACGAAAAGGAGGTGGGACGAGGAAAGCTGGTTTTCATCTGTCTTACAATTAAACTTAGCTAGCCACAATCACTGACCCAAACATACTACAACAATCCTTACACCAAAACAACACATTCTTAGTTACCATTCTTATTACAGCCAGCATAATACCTCAGAGACTCTATGAAATTCTCATTCTATTGAAGGGTTTATGCAACTCCTCTAAGCGGTAAATCCGGCTCATTTTCTCAAATGTTACCATTTATATACGATAGAAAGTAATAGCCTCAGTTTCATAATGAAGACATGCGTACTTCCTTCATTTGCAAAGCGTCGACAATCCTAGGCTCTCAAACTTTTGTAAGGTAAGTTGCACACATTGATCGATGGATTTGACTCGATTTAATTCTGCTATGTCAAGCTGGAATATTAACTTACGAATTTTTGACGGCAAAATGTTAGATTTCATTCACTAACAGCTTTGTTCCCAAATACGAAACTTGTATTCTTCGCAGCGTCATATCAATTATGGCACGGTTTGAATTCATAAAGGTATAAAGCGAGAAAATACAAAATGAAAAGCTTTCGCATATTTGCTTAAAATATGAAATAAAAATTAAATTTTACTGACTAATCATCAAAAAATATTTTCAAGTAGAATATTATCAACGGAAAATCTGTTATCGGTAAAATGTCAAGCGTGAAACGTAATTAGAAATCTCATAAGGTTGAATCTTATACAAAACATACACTAACACTTTTTTTGTATCGCTTTCTCTCACACAGATTGTTACTCTTTGAAACACACCTTTTCCTTCTTTTAAATACATTCTCATAAATCTTTTTCTTCCGCTTAGACACATACAATAATAAATTCTTTTCCATTCGATCTCTTTCACGCATGCGCGGATAAATATCTGTTCTTTTTTTCGTATTTGTAAAATCATTCACTTTTACACACATTCATTCACACTCTCACTATCTCACTCATTCTTTCTCTCTCTCACTCTCACTCTCTCCCACTCTCTCTCTTTTTCTCTATCTCTCTCTCTCTCTCTCTCTCTCAAACGCATCTACAAGTTGTTTCTCTCTCCGTCTCAGGTGTATAACCATTTTTTTTCTTTTTCTGTCTCACGTGTATCATTTTCTTTCTTTGCTTGTACAGAAACTTTCTGCTTCAAACAGACGTATACACACATACATAGACGTCGCTTATATGTACGAACCGCACCCTCTTTCCCCCTCTTTACCTCCTAATCTCTCTCTCTCTCTCCAACACTCCCTCTATCTCACTCTCTCTTTGACAATGCATACAAGAATTCTCTTTTTGTAGCTGTCAATATCTCTCACTGATAAACTCTCTATCTCGCATACCAACTAGAAAATCACATCCCCACCTCTCTCTCTCTTTTCTTCTCATATACACACTTGCACAGACGCACCCTCGTAAACTCTCTTTTCCACACACTAATCTAAAGTCTCTTCCCCTTCATACACTCATTGCATTTCTGTACTCAGCAGATTTTCATGAACATCCATGACCCCTTTTCTTCACGAACCCCCATCACTTCATTCATTCATTGACAACCCCTTCCCAATTCACAATCACTTTCTCTCCTTTTCAATCTCGTATATATTAACTCACCCCCCCCCCACATTTAGTCATTCACTACCATAACGCACGCACTCGTATGTACACTTCTCTTTCTCTGACATATACTCTTTCCCCCCACGAAATTTCTCTCTCTCTCTCCATTTCGCCCACTATTTATCTCTTTCGCTTCCCCACTAGTTCTCTCGCTCACTTACCACACTAGTTTTCTCTCACACTCCCTTTCTCCTTCTAGTTGTCTTTCTCGCTGCCATTGCCCCACTATTTCTCTCTCTCGCTCCCTTCCCTCCATTAATTCTCGCTCTAGCTCTCTATCCCCCATTTGTTCTCTTTCTCTCGCTCCCTTTACCCTAGCAGTTGTCTCTCTCGTTCCCTTTCCCCTACTAGTTCTCTCTATCCCTCCCTTTTCCCTAGTAGTTCTCTCTCTCGCTCCATTTTCACCCTACTAGTTCTCTCTCTCTCTCACACTCGCTTCTTTTCTCACACTAGTTCTCACACTCTCGCTCCCTTTCTCCACATTCTCTCTCTCCATTCCACCCACTAGTTCTCTCTCTCGTACTCTTTTTCCACACTAGTTCTCTCTCTCTCTATCGCTCCTTTTCCCCCACTATTTCTCTCTCTCGTTCCCTTTACCCACCTGTTCTCTCTCTTGATTCCTTTTCTCCTACTAGTTCTCTCTCACTCACAACTTTTCTCCCACTAGTTCTCTCTCTCTCCATTTTCCCACACTAGTTCTCTCTCGCTCCCTTTATGCTTACTAGTTCTCCCTCTCTTGCTCCCTTTTCCCTCCCTTAGTTCCCCACCTATCGCTCCCTTTTCACCTCTAGTTCTCTCTCAACATTATTTCCCTCTCTCCTCAATATCTTTCACGCATAGAAACTTTTTTCTTTCTGAACATTAAAATTGTTCTTCATGCTCTGTCTTTCCCAATTTGACAACCTTTTTCTCGCTGATAATCCACTCAGAAACAATGTCTCTTCGTCCTCCATCCAAATTTTGCATCAACAAGAATTTTACAGAATAAAACTCGATATCCAAATCCTGATTCAGATTTGAAAAAGAACGAAAAAATGATTTTCTTATAAAATCTTTTCCGACAAAATAATCTAGTAATTTAACACTTCCGACAATGTTTAATGAAGAATGTTATATCGAAATGATTATTTAAAAAACACAATTTAGCTTTTTCAAGTTTTTCATGTCCTTCAAGTTTCAGTAATCATGACCCCACCCCAGAGTTTCCTCTCTTTTAGGGCTCTCAGCAGCATTTTCTCTCTTGTGATCCATCTTTTTGGCTCTTGCTTATCCATCCATTTGCATAAAATTATCGAACCGGTTACTCATTGCTTTTCCCTGATTCTTTTTTATTCGATAGAGGCCTGTTAAATTCTCTAGTACCATTTTACTACCACACACACCACATCTCCGACTATTATTTTATGCTATTTAAGTAGTCAACTGGTCAATGACGGTGAAGTAAGGATGGAATTGATCATAGGTCAATAAGGGAGATGAGTGTAATAGTAAAATATTACCAATTCTACAATCCCTTTTTTTCTCAGTGTCAATCTGTAAAATTCAACTGTCTCGATTTAATTGTGAATAATTTATTTGTAGTTCATATTAAAACTTCCTCATTTGTCACATTCTGTCTGTGCTATTTTCAAAATTCTTCAATAGAATCGCATCTCGGTTGCTTTAAGACTGTTTTTCTATTAGTGAGGAAATTTTTTTGTTTTCAGGAAATATATAGAAGAATGAGTTTCTAATTTCATTTTCCCATCACTTAGCATCATACTTATTTTTTTCAAAAATATCCTTCTCTAAGCCCATGAGCCCCTTTCGTTGACCAATCAGTCTTCTTTTTTGTTTGCTTCATATCATCATCTAACATTTAGACTTGTGCACGTAGTAGAGTATATTAGACGCGATTATTTTTCAGACTGTTTGATCTTGTGTTCTCAAACAAATATATATTTTTTCTTTTCAAACATTTACTGTTCGTCACTGTGGCCAATACGATACATGCAATGTCTAGACGAGTTCATAGATTGTGAGCTCGAATCTCTGAGAAGGCTTGTCCCTTCTTTCGTACACATGTTTCTTGTTTTAAGGCAGTCTTAAAACGATCTTTGAATTGCAAATAATTCATTTATGTCCACTTTCAGAAAATCATGATTAATATTCAGATTATTTTAATTATAATTAATAACGAATATTTCGATTAGCTTTAATGGGTTAAAATAGCAACTATGAAAATTAAAAGCATTAAATTGAAACTGAAATTTTGAGTTGTCCTTCATCTATTAGAGCTTGGCCTCAAGCTTGCCTGTTGAAAATATTTTTTTTATAAAGACTTGATGTTAAAAAAACGTTTGCTTTATTATTTATTGAAGACTAGCAGTAGAGCCCGGCGTTGCCCGGGGATGTAACTGTAAGAGATAGATCAAGTATCGACCATCATAAAGACTGAAAAATAAAATTGACAAAGATAATTGTTTAAGGTTGACGGACACGCATGTCTTAATTAGTTTTTTTTTTTAACGAATTGGTCAAACCCAAACTCAAACAAGAACATTGTTTTCAATCGTTATGAGTCTTGAATAGAATTTTATTATAAACAATTGTCTTGTAAATGGAATTTTTAAAGCATTCTGAATGTAAAAATAAAGAAAAAAGAGTGCAAGACAATAAGAAACACTACCTGCCAAAAAAAAGTGAGGTTTTGTTGAAATCGGTTGAAAAATGTAGGAAATCCGATCCCATATGTAAACGAAAACACACGCACATACAAACAACCTGGGTTTCATAATAAGTATAACTCGATATGAGTTGTCTCCCTTTCATTCTGGCGATAGTGATGCCTCTTAATCGTGTTTTCAAATTGATTTCGTGCAAAAACATTTGTGTTTTTCCAATTTTTAGCACTGTCAGAACCACCGCAAGGTAATTTTACGTAGTCCTGTGAAGTTTTGTTGAAATCAGTTGAAAAATGTAGGAAATCCGATCCAATATATAAACGAACAGACACACAACCTGGGTTTTATGATTAGTATGATATCGGATAAAACACATTTTCATTTTCCCTTTTCTTTCACGTATATTCATTCCTCTTGGGAATTGTTTCTCTGCATTTACTTTTAGAATTAAAGAAAACTACAAGGGTGTTTTGAAAAGTTCATAAGCTGACATCTTTTTAATCACTTCACCCAAAGTAAGACAATAAAGACACTAAGACGCAAGAGGGGGACTGAGTGTTAGAGAATGTGAGAAAAAAAAACTTCTATTAGGAAGAGAGGGCAATAAAAGATCAAAAATTAAGATGACAGAAGATAACGATTGACACTGCGTTTTATTTTTTGAAGATCAATGTTTAATAGGAAGTAAGAAGGAAGAAAGTTCCACAATTGAGAAGTTTCGAAAGAAAAAAAATTGTTAGTATAGAAACTGCGCTTACATCTAGCCATCTGTAAAATGATGTGACCTTCCCGCCAATTTAGTATTGCGTTTAAATACATCAAGTCTAGGTAGGTAGAGGAAAGTTCATCAGAACAATTACCATGAAAAGTATTTACAGAAAAGGCGCAGAGAAGTTACGTTACGACGGTTGGAAAGTGACTGATGCCGAAATACCAGGACAGGACCAATAATATTGCAGATTCTTCTTTGGATTTTGTCAAGAATCTCTAAATATATATAGTAGGAGCATCGAACCAAATGTGACAGCAATATTCAAAGTAAGGAAGAATGGTAGACTTATGAATATGTAAGATAGATTCTGGTGAGAAAAAATGTCTAGCACGAAATAGTGAACCAAATTTCTTAGCTGCAGACTTAGAATTTTGATTAAATATAGTCGTTCCATTTCATGTCAGCTGAAAAAGTTAATCCGAGAAGGAGCAATGAGTCAGTCTCCTGGAGGTTAGCATCAGTCATGCTGATGAAAGTTAAAATTGGTTTCCTTAGATGATTATGCTTTAAAATTAACAAGCCAATCCTTGCCCCATTTAATAACAGATGTAGGTAATTTTTCATATCAGCTTCTGATTTGACCTTATCGAACCGATCAGACTAATTATTGAGACAGACGTAAATAATTGTATCATCAGCATAGATAACGAGTTGAGAACTGATGACATCACGAAGGTCATTTATGAAAATTAAAAACAATGTAGGTTTAAGTATAGGCGCCTGGGGAACACCTGCATTTATTCAAAAAGATCTAGGAGTGATGCTAGAACTGTGAAATCATGACCTCCAGACTGTGAGCGTTTTTCATGAATAACCTTTACCTGTTTGTTTTTTTTTTTCTAATTTGAACAAGTGGAAATCCCCACCCAATATAACTGATTTTTTTTTTTTACTTTTCAATATTTTTCTTTCATTGGATGTTCTCAATTACTTGGTGCACCTTGTGTCCTACGCGCATATTCCTATGCGATGCTTCTATTCAGATAGCTAGTAATCGGAAACTAAAATCACATATGAAATGATTTCTTAATCATGTGCAATCGCATACGTACTCGCATGTACACATATACGCGTGTAATCACATAAATGTCAACAACACAAGCAGACATATACACGTACGCATACACGCATACACACATACATATACGGACACCGAAAACACGGATGATTATACGTAAACGTACAATTTTCATTCATTTAAGAAAATGTTCATTCATTCAAGAAAAGTAGCAATTAACCCGCGAATATGCATTTTTTACTATGTTTAATTCGAGAGTTGTAACGAAATTTTGAGATGAAGTCTTTTCAATGCTAATGTAATAGTTTCAATGGACAGATAGGCATTATGAAACTGCATCTAAAACTGTTCATTGTCTATGCTGATGTAAAATTGCTTCTAAAAATAACTTTAAAAAATGGCGCAATAATTGCACATTCCTTCATTCCTACCCTATACATACTATAGCATATTCATGAAAATATACTAGTCAAAAGATCAAGGGAGTTGAACAGCGTGCTTGAACAGAATATTACAGAATTTTGCTGTTACACTTTGTGAGCCCATGTTCTATTTGCAGACAAGGGATGATTTCGACGTAGATGATCGCGTAATTTATTTCATGAATAATTTACTTACATTTTTCGACATCACACTCAAACGGATTGCTGAAAATATATAATATAATGCAAATAGAGGTTTATGGCATGTTATATTTATGGGTAAGAGTGCTCCACTAGTGTCGACCTTGAGTGAGACGACTCAAAATAGTTACACATATTCTCGGCAAGTATAACTATTAAGGATATGACATGTAAAATGTTATCACTTTTCCCCTCGAAACTAAAGCGAAAAAAATATTTGGGAAAAATCAGATAGGGACATTTCGTTAGAAACTAAAAAAAAAAAAAGAACGTTGAAATGTTATGGCTTGTTTTTCCTCCTATATGACAATGAATACTGGACAATTTCTTCACAAGGGAAGATGAAACTTTAAAACACATGCAATTCTCCAGAAATATGCTGAGAATAGCAAGGAGATAATGTGTGAACAATAAGGAGGTTTTAAGGAAAACAGAAGTTACAAATAAACTTATATGAGATATAGTTGACGTTTCAGGGACATATGATGAGGCTTGAAGAATTTAACGCGCACAGGACACTGAAGACATGAGGAGGAGATGAACCAGAATAACCTAACTAATCTTACTTATTATAAAACGCAGATTGTGTGTCTGTACGTTTATATATTGGATCGGATTTC